ACTGAGCCAGCAAAGGAGACCCAGCAGGTGCTCCATTGAAATCCTTCATTATATTCTCTTGCTTACACTCAACTGCATCATTTCCTAGTAAAACCATTCAAAGGCTGTGTCAAAAATTCATAACTTTGAGTGCTTTAATGGAAGCACGGGAAAGGTCTTTCTATTTCACCTGAGAAAGCTGAAGGGAGCTAACAATGTTTAGTTAAATGGTGGTGTTCCCCAGAAGAACTCTACCCTGAGCTACTTGAACCTTATTGTTTGTATTAGAATCATGGTGGGACACAGATTTTCTGATGGGAGTTCTATAAATGGACAACTGGTAAAACCTAAGCAGTAATACATCAAATATGAACATAGAAATAATTCGCGTGAATAGGATTTTCCAGTCTTTTTCTGCAGACGTTAAGCATTTTGTTATAGTGGTCATTAAAAGCAAAACCAGAACAGTACAGAAGGGTTTAGAAATGGCAGTCTGCAATGACATTTATGATCTGGAGGAGCACAGCTTTTGGGTTGTTTTTTTTGGACTGTTGTGTCATGTGGCAATCACCTCTTCACAAATGTGATGCTGTTTTACCTCTGTGATGCAACTGACAGCCTGCTGGCACCATGAGAACACTGGCAGTGGTGCAGCTGCATTTGCAGCTTCGCTTATGAAATGTTTTTGCTTAAGTAATGTTGATGAAACATTTGCATTATTGGGTAACAAATCAGGGGATTTACTGCACAGCTCAATTTCAGCAGTCTGGCTCTTTTCTGGTGGAATTGGTCCCGCATGTAACAGGCAGAACCCCATGAAAGCACCACTTTGGTCTGTGCTGTCAGCTAGTCTTTGTGCTTGAGATTTAAGGGATGGCAAACAAAGAATGAAAGAGGTTTTAAGCAGGAGTTTTCAGGATGGAAAAGGTTGCAATCTAAGGAAAGAGAGGATATCTTTTGATATTTTTGGACTAAGTTAATTTTATTAATAGCCCCTTACATTTTGTTCTTGTTCTTGGTACACATTCTAGATTTTCCTTTGTCTCCACGGAATAAAATTTGACCCATTGTGGTGCAGAGCTTTCTATGAGTTTTCCTCCAACTTCTTATAAGGGTAACACCAAGGGTTGCTGGGATTGTTCAGTCTGGAGAAGAGGAGGCTCAGGGGAGACCTCATTGCACTCTACAACTTCCTGAAGGGAGGTTGTGGTGCAAAAGGGTCTGGCCTCTTCTCCCAGGCAAATAGTAGGACCCGAGGAAATGGCAAGAAGTTATACCAGAGGAGGTTTAGGTTGGATATTAGGAGAAACTTTTTCTCTCAGAGGGTGGTCAGGCACTGGAATGGCTGCCCAGGGAGGTGGTGGAGTCGCCATCCCTGGCAGTGTTCAAGAGGCGCCTGGATGAGGAGCTACGAGAGATGGTTTAGTAGCTTGTGGCACTGATAGGAATGGGAGGGTGGTTGGACTAGATGATCTTGCAGGTCGTTTCCAACCTTGTGATTCTGTGATTCTGTGGGTTTTGAGGAGAAGATATTCCTTTTGGGTTTTTGTCTTCCTCAGTTTACATCCTCGGAGATGCACAAGCAGATTGTCACTACTGCAGCAGAAAACTCAGAAAGATACGTGGAACAGAAACAAATGGTCAGCAAAAAGGTTTCAGCTACAAGAAGTCAGTATTAAAAACAATCATTATTTGTCTGGGGTACAGTGTTGCCCCAGGGAAAGTCAACAAGGGTTTTCCTGTTGATTTCTGTAGCCAGAATTCATCAGAATTCATCCTTCTGTTATAATTTGAATTTATGGCTTGAATTCTAGCTTAATTAAAGTGACATTTTTTCCCTACAGAAAATTAATCTTTAAATAAAGTGCAGAGGAAGTACAGTTATCTTTTATCTCTGGCAAAAAGAAATACATACATCATTTTTTTTTACCTACAAATCCCGCATTAGTCTGAAAAAAACAGTAAATGAGGGTGCCTGGGTAGCAGCTATAGCATATGTTGAACCATGTGGTTTTGATGCTTGGGACCAGATGTATGCTGGTTTATTAAATAGCCAGGGAGGGGAACATCGAGAGCACAAATGCCAGTTGCTTCATAGACTGAAATGCTACTTATCCACCACCAAAAAGAACCCACACACAGAAAAAGTGGAGAGTATGAACTGTATTTTTAAATTGGTGCCTTCTTACTTCTTTCCACGCTTCTGCTTGATTTACCTGAGCTTACAGAACTGAAGCAGTGACCCAGCCTTTGCATTTCCAGCCACCAATGTTCCTCCTGGTCAGTGTGGTCAGAACATCTCTCAACAGGAGAAGGCCCGTAATGCTCTGCTGTGGGTTTTCAGGCAGCAGACCTCAATCATGCCAGGCTGGCTATAGTTATAATCAGTTTCCATCTAGCATGTTGGTTCTTGGCTAGCACCTTGCATTCTGCAGTTACTGAAATGTTGGGAGTTATCTGACAGTCACTCATAGCTGAGTTGAATGACGTGCACATTAATACCACAAATTGGTCCGTGACTGATTCCTCTGACTGCAGCTGGCTATGCAGAGGCATCACTGGGCAACTGTGTCAGCTCAACTGAAAGAGGGATTTACTGCAGCCCCTGCTGTCAGTCCTAAGTAGGAGCCGGCATTCCCTTGGCCAAACAAGTTCCTATTGCTGGAAAAGAATTAGTTTTACTCACATTCACGACTAAGCTAGTCATGTAGATAAAGAGGGCAGCTACATTAGTCCATGTTTGTACTGCATCTGTGAGTGTGCTCTGGGATCTGCACTCTTCTGGGCTCGTGTCTCCTTCCGTGCTGACTGGGAGATCTCAGGTCCTAAAGCAGCAAAGTGATGGCTGTGTCTGCAAAAGTGTTTAGGGTCATCCGCAGTGATTGTCATCAAGGATTTTTGTTCCTGCTTTCCCTGTAGCAAGGCTTGGGGGTCTGTAAGTGATGCTGTGCCTTAGAAAACAAAATTGATTCTAAAACTCACCTCTGGGAAGTGCCTGCTTTAAGGCATGGTATCAATGCTTGGTAATAAAAAGCTGTATGAATTCCTGATCGGCTCTACTGCCCAAATAACACACTGATTGCTCCACTGGTGCAACAAATACACTTAGTTAAAATGTCCTACAACTTCCATACTATAGCACTGTGGGCTGATCTATCTATCTATTTATTTATTTACTTTCCTCATGCATTCTCATTTTCCATTTCCTCTGAGCCTATAAATAGGTTGAAATGTGCAGGATATTGGATGAGAGCAAAATAAATATAATTCACAAGTTTAAAAAGAAATGATGCTTCATACATTTAAGGAATGGCTGAGCTTTGATCATCAATCAAAATGGCTGAGGATCTTTGCCCTGAAGTACTTTCTCCCCCCCAGTCCTAAAAAATTGTGGTATGGTTTTGGTTTCTTATTCCAGCTAATCAAATTACCACAGGTTATAGGCAGTGTGGAAGATGTTCTTATTTGCTGGCACTGAAGTGTCAAAGCAGAATCTCCATGCACAACAATATTTTCATACCTGTAAGCATCTAATCTGTGAACCAAATAGCTCTTATTGCACTTTCTGTCCAATCTCAGTGGGAATTCTCATATACTTTAAATTAGAAAGGAGATAAAGAATCTTTTTTTTTTTTTTTTTTTTTTTCAATTTGTCTTTTAAGCAGGGTGGAAATAAAGCTGAAATTCATGGCAACACCTATTATTTTAGAGAGGTGTTGTGATGATATCCACTTTCAGCAGAGCTGAGCTGTTTGTGGCTTTGAAGGACGTCTGTGTCCTAACCGCTGTGGTTTTGGCAGGTGCTTCTACTGCAAAGCCAGCCAAACCAAGAAAATTCTGCCCTAATACAGGTTGCTTTGCTTAACAAAATTTTTCATGTATTTGGACAACTCCTGTCTATGTCTGCAGTTTTTGTTGGCATAGGATGTTCATAAGCAGTGTATGGTGTTCTTGCCTTTTTTAAGCATTTATGTGAAATATCTCACATGAAATATGTTCATTTGTCATCTTTCAGATGTATGGGTGTTGCTGAAAAGGCCAGTTTCTCTACCTTGCCCCCCACGTATGCAGAATGCCACTTCCTTACAAGCTTTCAAGCTTAGATAATTTCTCCCATTCTGCAAACTGAGTGCTGAGCTGCTTGAGTGTGCATTCCTTAACACATTGCAGTGTAAAACTCCTGGCTTCGTACACAGTTATTTAAACTAAGACCTCTGACTTGGACTAAAACAAGTGGTAAAAGAGAAAGTGGAAGCATACCCTAGAACAGACAGAAGGCAAGAATATAAAGTGATCAAGGATTGAGGATGGGTGGATAGTGATAGGGCAAGGGGGAATGGTTTTAAACTGAGACAGGGGAGGTTTAAGTTGGACAGTAGGAGGAAGTTTTTCACACAGAGGTTGGTGAACGGGTTGCCCAAGGAGGCTGTGGATGCCCCATCGCTGGAGGCATTCAAGGCCAGGCTGGATGTGGCTCTGGGCAGCCTGGTCTGCTGGTTGGTGACCCTGCACATAGCAGGGGGTGGAAACTAAATGATCGTTGTGTGCAACGCAGGCCATTCTATGATTCTGTGATTATTTAGTTCTCTCAAAGGCACAAAAGATTAATGTTAGTAAGAAGTACAGCTTTTTAAAACGTAGAAGTGACTTACAAAGTGTGTATGCAATACTAGGAAACTAAAGCTGGACTGTTTTATACCCAGGTTTAAGTGAGTTGAGAATGAACTCTGTATATTGCTGCTAGTTATATTTAGCAGTGTGGTGGAGCTGGTACAAATGACTATGCCACGTACAATGTGCTGAAAAACTGAACTCAGAATGTGTATGCATGTGTGTGCTAAGTTTGTGTATATGTAGATCTCTAATTGTTTTTATCATGATCATTATTATTATTTAGTACTTTTGGTATATATTGGCCAGTGATTAAAAAAAAAAAAAAAAAAAAAAAGTCTTTTAATTATGAAGGTGATTATATTGGGATAGAAGTCACATAAGAATAAATTCTATGCTGCAGGAAGATATCCACTCTAGGGTTGTTTATTGTGTTTGTAAGCATCTCACTTCAAGACCAGCTGTGGACAGGCAGACAGACATTACAACCTTTATTTGAAGCCCTAAAGCAAGAATTTCCATTATTTTTAATTGAGGCATGTAATACTTTTCCAGGTCTTACAGGACAGCTTCTCTCCAAAGGTGGTGATCATTGCAGGCTATGAAGCTTATTGCAAACCTTTCTTTTGTTCTTGGACGCAGAACTGCTTGCAGTGCATATGCTAATGGAAAGTGGCTTCTCCACTTCGGTGATAAACACAGCGCTTAGAGCTGGTGTCAATGCGTTGGTTCCCTCTTAAGGAAAACGAAGCAGGGAAGGGAAAATTAAAGAAATGTTTACTTATATCAGTGATATGTGCTATGAGATATGTGAACTGAGTATTGCAGTTGTTTCACTTCTGTTTGTGATGTGTGTGAGGTTATTAGTGCACAGTGGAGAAACAATTCCTACAATAACAGCATGTGCAATGCTACTTTTTGTTCATCTCTTTATTGCAGAGCTGCCTTTTTTACAAGGGGATGAATTTTTTAACCAAACTGTATCACCTGTCAAGAGTTTTCATGTGATTCTTGGATACCAGCTACAGAGTCTTCGCTATCAGTTACTCAGTCCTGTTTTCTTCTCCCTTCAGCAGGTAAGAAAAATTTCCTGTAACACTATCTGCAGTGGGAAAATGTTTCCAGTTTAGGGCACCTTTTGTTGGACAGAGTAGAGTTAGCATCTCCCTTCCAATATGTCATGCAGATCCTACTGTGTTTCATTGTTGCTCAGATCAGTTTGTATGACAACGCAATTCTCTGTAATTTTTAACGTTTGTGTCAGTCTCTCCATCGAGCTTTAGTGCAGCTTAAAAATGGTTTGCATGAACTTTCTGTGGTGAATCTGCTTACAGCTGAATAAGGGCTATGAGAAAGAAGTATAGAAAATTGCTTGAATTTCTACTCTCTGAGAGGAGCCTCTAAATAACTCCTTGGGAAAAAGCCTTGAAGTAGAGAGCCAGCACGGGTGGTGCAAAAGATCTTGTGTTACCCACTGTGGTAACCTTGAGCTGAATGAGTCAGATCCTGCTCACCAAGAGCACAGTCAGACAAGCATTGCAGAAGCAGATTACACCGCCCCAGCTGCCTGTGCACTGAAGCATATGAGGAATTCCCAAATGACCTATATATGATTGATATATATATATATGTATGTGTGGGTGGGGTGAGAAGCAGCACCAAACAGCTGAGTAGTAGTGGTATCTTTAAACAGCTGCAGTTGTTTCTGCAGAGGTGCTTGGGTACAGCCGCCTCAGATTCCTTAATGATCAGTGCTAGAATTGGGTTTGCATTTGAGGATCAAAGTTTTTAGATAGGAAGGGAGACAGATTTATTGAAATGACTTTCAGTAAACATCAGTCATTAATGGAGAGCGTATATGGGAGTGTGTGTGTGTGTGTGTGTGTGTGTGTTTATGTGAAAGGAAAGTAAATGTTCTTAATCTGTCCTTGAGGTTCTGTTTTTCTTTAATACTATCATCACATATGGTAGCTTTTATTTTTTCAAAGCAGCTTTTAAATTTTCTTGGAAAGCAATCACCAGTTTCTTCCTGCAAAAAAAAGTTTTCTTTCTGATCATATATTTAGAGACTCATTTCCTCTTAGATAATTATTTAGTTTATCACTGAGCTGCAGGAGTTAAACTGCCATTACTTCAGGTTTTTGTTGTTTGTTTGTTTGTTTTTTCCTCCTTTTCTGTGATTTTTAAGCAAAGAAGTCTTTTCTAAAGGGTTTGCTCTTTAAAACTTCAATTCTGATTTATTGGGCAGTAATGCATACTTTCTTCTGAATTTATATCAAGCCCTAAGGGGTGGGAATGCCTACTCCATGCTGCTCCATTACAGTGGTAGCTGGATTTTGCTACAGTGATTACTTTTTCTTATTCTAGGCTACCAGGGTTACATGGTTATGATTCCTCCTGCAGCTCTGCTGGGAATTTGTGCCCTAGTCATTGTAGCCCACAGCAGAATTTAGCTTCATCTGTAAACTGGATACAGATGGTAGGACACTCAGAGCCAGGCTGGATGTGGCTCTGGGCAGCCTGGTCTAGTTGTTGGCAATCCTGCACATAGCAGGGGAGTTGAAACTAGATGATCATTGTGGTCTTTTTCAACTGAGGCCATTCTATCATTTTATGATAAAAGGTAGATAAATCATTTTCCCTCATGTTGCACCTGTTTTTCAAGGATTTCTAGGGTGTTTTTACCTGTTTCTAGAGAAGAAAATCAGGGGCACAAATAGCAGAGAGGACAACCTGGCAGCTGTGATAGATCCCAGGCCACGAAAAGTGTGGGTGTGGGTATTACTCTGAATTTCTATGGAAAAGAGAAGTATCAGGGTACCACTTGGTCATTACCTATGCCCATGTTATTTCAAATGTGCTCAGGAAATCTCTGCTTCGGCACTTTGCATCCTTCTCAAAAACAAGTACCCACATCTGCTGTGTACTAAGTTAATAATCTACCAACTAATCTGTTATTAAACATAAGTTTTCCCATAAGCATCTCCAAACGTTGCTCCTAGGAGGTTTCAGTCATTGCAAACAGAACTAAACACTGACCTCATGCTTCATTGATATATTTTTTTAAAAAATTGCAGCAAACACTCCATCTTTGGTTTGTTCATTGCTAAACTTCTTTTTCTTGCTATTGTAAACATCTGCATCTCAGAACAAACAGTTGGACATGCACATGGCTCCTGTTTCTAGTAGAGCATTTGCAGTTTTTTTTCTGCTGTTAACTGTTTATAAAGCACTGTGTAATCTGTAACCTTACTGTGATGGACAGGTTGATTGGAGTTCCTGCCATGCAAGGCAATATAGACACAGTGCCTCGAGCAAATCACCAGCACCCTGAGAGAATGTTTGCTAACTGAAGTAGCAGTGCTTCATGAAAAAACAGTGCCTGTCTACTGCAAACCTAATGTTTTATAACCACTTACTTTTTTTCACTGCAAAAGCCGTAACTTCTCACTTGCTGGCAGTGTACTAGACTTTAAGTGATGCATATGGCTTTAAGTGTAGCATTGTATTCCAGTTTGATATTTCAACAGCATGCGTATTTTCACAGCTGTATTTACTATTTACTCTTACTTGTGGTATAATTTAAATGTCTTAGGATTCTGGTTATGTTTTTTCAGTGACTATAGGAAGCACATACGTAACGTTTCAGAACCCCATCAGTTTACATCTGCAGGCCATGGCCATTGTAAATGTTTGTGCATTTGTTTAACTTTCTGGATGTGTACAGTCCCATAGGAGCCAATGGAAGTATCCCATGCTTCAAATTCATCATGTGCAGAAGTCTTGACATGACAGGCCTAATCAGAAACAGGAAGATCATGTGCTTACAAGGAGAGAGAAACCAGTCCTTTCGTAATTAGTATAACGAGAAGTTCCTAGGAAAGCTGTAGCTTTGTTTGCACCCTTTATTTTCGCTCTTCTTTCAATAGAAAGAGGAGACCTGGCATTATTTTCATTTATTATTTAATTCTTGTCTGCCCCCTGAGCAGGTGCTGCACTCAGCTTAAATCTGCCCTAAAAATCTTAGCCGATTCCCTCTCCAGAAGATTCTCTTTAATAGTAATCACAACTGGCTGGCTGTCCTCTCTGTTCAGTCTGTCCCATGAAGGCTTATGTACTTGACCCTTTTCTCTGTGCCTTGTGATACCTTTGATCAATCTCAACAGCAGACTCCCCTGGAAATACACCTAATTTAATATTTCCCTTTATGAAACACCAGCTGAGCCTGTAAACAAAAGATAGCTCCCTAAGGTCTCTTCATCCAGGGTTGGAGCATGTACTCAAGGAAGTGAAGCATTCATTAAACGGATGCCAAATTATTTACACTTGTTTCCTAATCAATGAGGCAGTAAGAGACTGGGAGTGAAATGCACCTCCTCTAATTTGATATATTTACAGCTTGGAATACCATATCTGTACCTGAATGATTCATGTTACATTCTCTTTGCAGTCAGTGGAGAGAACAGGCACTTCCAGAGCATGTCCTAGCTCAGTAGTTTCATTCAGCTTCATAGAATGTGTTGACATGCAGCGCACATATGTCCAGTTTTCTCCAGCATCTGTAAAAAATGCAGTCTGCGTTTCTCTCCTGTGAATGTTACCAATGTTACCTCATTTACTACTAGCTTATTTTGAATGAGCTTAATAATTGCAAAGGCCAAGCTGCAGGAATTCACCTTTATCGGAGAGCTTCTTATTCACACCTTGCAGTTGTGACCTCCAGGTTACTATGCTGCTGTCACTGCAGCCCTGAGTGTCCCGTCTCTTTTCCAGAGCTCCTGTGGAAAGCTTACAAGGAAGAAATGATCTCAAATGTTATTCTTGATTTTCTTTCTTTTCTTTATTCACCATCTCAGTAAAAAACAGATAGTAGTAAAGTGCAGATAAATGCACAAATATTCAATCTATTGATTTACCTATCTAACTGTATCTAAAATAACAGCATCACCTATGTAGCAGCTGAAATCTTACATTTATTACCTTCAGTTCTGCTTTAAGTAAAGAGAGAAGAAAATAGTAACTTTCGTTCCTCTTTTTTCCCTGAAATCCACACAAATGCAACTCAGACTACTTCAGTAGAGGGCAGATCACCTCACTGAGGTTTGAATAATATTCCAAAAGCTAAATCAGGAGGATTGTCAACATCAGTCAAATGATTTGAGCCTGTAAATTATTATTTTTTTAATTTGATTTCTTCAGAACTTTGTTGTTTCTGAGTTGAGTTGGGACTTCAACTATTTCAGCATTTGACTTTGACGAGATAGCAGTTCTTAATAAAATAGTAGAAATATGTAGATAAATGCAAGTGATTACTTGTCATGTTTTCATCAAGCATCTTAACTAGGATTTAACACAATAACTGGTAACAAAATTTTAGGTCCTCTCATAGAGAAAGACAGGTACACAGCATTAAGGATTCATCCTTAAGATATTTAGAACCGTGTACTTTTTTTTTTTCATTGCTACTGAGTTCTTAAAGTAGTGTTGGAAGGCATTTTGCCTTTTCAAAAATTCTTTTAAAACATTTGAACCAAGATGATTTTCTGTTGAAAGCATGGGTAGGAAGCAGCATATTACAGTAAATGAACACAGAAAAAATTCTGTTTTATTCCGGCAGAATAAGTTTAGATATGTTTACATTTCAAATGACATGATAAATTCTTGTACTAAACAAAGCAAGAAAATTCAAGTGGAGTAAATGAACCAAAAACCTGGCTTTGAACAGCTATTCATTTCAGTCAGAGCTAAAAGTTCAATTCTGGATGCTCTCATTCCTCCATAGCTGAAGGCTAATACGGATTGATTTTGTGTATGAAGTGATCCAACCCTCCCTTCTCTGTCCTCTGTTCTTCCAGTCTCCAAAACTAGCTGGCTCCTAATGCTGCATAGACAAATAAATACTGCAGAAAGAAAAACAACCTTTTTTTTTTTAATAAACAAACAGGAAAAATTACAAGTTTTATTTTCTTACCTTGAGTTCATCAACCAAATTAAACGGGTTGCTTAAAAATTGATGCAAAGTAGTGGCATCCTTACAGATTTTCTAATTACACTCAGCTGTGATTACAGTTCCACCTGCCCAGTGGGAACAAAATGTATTTTTTGCTTAATTTTTTTTTCTTGGTTTCATTGCTAATTCACTCCCTAGAAGAAAGTACCCTTTTTAGGAGGGAGAGAACTCAGTGGTTTCATGACCTTTTATTCCTCAGAAGAAATGGGTGAATTCACTTGGAATAAATACAAACCAAGCCAAAACATTGCGCAGGAAAATTTAAATCCAGATCTGACCTTTCTGAGATTCAGAATGAAAAGAAAAGGCGGAGGGGAAAGGTTGCCTCCATTTATCTTCTGTTATCTTCCTACAGTTTGCAAGTACAAAAATACCACAGCAGGGACTAAACCTTTATGGATGTGTGTTGTGGCAGAAACCAGATGAGGAGCAAAAATTGAAGGTTTACTGACAGCAAGCTTGCTCCTGCAGCCTTTGTGCAGGCAGAGCTGCCAGGGCTTTCTCTGGATGATTTGACAAAGAGGATTGAAGAGCCTGTGTGGCCACTGCTGAGGCTTCCTAGCAGGTCAAAGACTGTTGCCCTGATGGTGAGTGGGCTGGATCAAGAAAAGCAGTTTTTAAGAAAGCATGACAGTATACTGCCCTCCAAGTTCAGTGCTGAGATGTGGGGAATAGAGCAAAAGCAAGATGTAGTGAAGGGGGTGTTCACTGGAGAGGGGCCTGCAATTTCTGTGCCCACCAAAAATGGAGTGACACATGGAAGCAGTGAGCACAGCTGCCATCCCAGCTGCTTTGCTTTTGCCTTTGCTACCCCTTTCCAGCAGCCCAGCAAAGCATTAGTTGCCTCTGATCAACTGTAAATGTGATCAAGAGGTAGTCACCCCTTCAGTCAGGAGGCCACATGCTGCTTCCCAGTGGGCTGCACAGCCAGCCTTGCTGTGACGGTCATGGTGGGCTGGGGCCCTGTCTGGCGTTTTGTAGTAGTGCCTATCCTGCGCAGCGTTCTGCTGCCTGGCAAAGTGCACTGCACTGTAGTTTTATGCACCTGTATCTGGGCCCACTGGATTGCAATGCTTGGAGATGCACGGCTGAGGAGATATCCCAGCCTGACAGCACTGTGCCTTTGGGTCTTCAGGTACTGTCATGCTGAAGCATGGCAGGCAGCTTTGTGGGCTTGGGCGAACATAAGAGAGCTTGTGATTTCGTAGGAGTAAAAGGTGGCTGAGGCTGCAGTTTCTCAGTGAGGGAAAGCTCTGTGCATCCTCCTCTACGCTTCCCCTCTGCAATTGATGTTTCTTGCCTTGAAAATGTCGGCTTGGTGGCATTTGGTGTCTGACTATTTCCAAAGACCAGAATATCTTAAAAGAAATTGAGATGCAGGTTTGAATATGGAGCTGACCACAACTCCATTCATGAGAAGCCTTCAATTTATCCTTCTTTCCATTGATGTTCCCAAAATGAAGCATTTTTCACAGGAAAAGACTGAAGCAACTGCTGGCTGCAAGCCCAGCACCACTTGGCCTAGGATTTTCTGCATGAAGGAGCCGTGCATCCTACGAGTGCGTCCCAGGCCTTTCAGAACTGGGATCCCAGCTATCTGGCAAAGTGTCTGTGAGCAGTGCTTGAAATAAGTACTTCCAGCTTTCTGCTTAGGAGTTGGGAGCTCAGTCTGTGTGGGCTTCCAAGCTGCTGGCCCTATAGCAGCAAGCCTGATGGCTCAGGCATTTATGTGATGAAGGCCTTTTGTATCCTTGCTGTTTCCATGGCCAAGTATCTCAGTCTGCAGGGACTATTTCAGCGTGTGTATACGAAAAGAACGCACAGGGTCACTATTTTTGAGTTCCTCATGAAAGCTCTACCACACTAAACAGTACAGAGCCCAATACACAGCCACATGTTACATTCTGTTATCTCTAAAAACTGGCAGATTTTCTTTTAAAAAATATATTCTTGTGATCCCAAGGGAGAAAGATCAGTTTTCTGTAAGAATCCTTTGTACTGAAGGCTAGGCTTTTGTGACTTCTACAGGGCTGTGAGTTTTGTTCCAGAGAGCTATAGTACCATTAAAGTAACAGCCACACAGTACTACTGGAGTCAGAGATCCTCTGAATTTGCAGAGTTGTCTCTTGCATTGCTCAGTGCTGGAGCGACCTTCCTGACTTATGCACAGGAGGTGGCAGTAATCTCAAGGCATGCTTCTTGTTTCCAGCCATGCTTACATTCTCATACACTAATTGTGAAGCCAGGATATCACTTGTAACTAACTGCTGGCCAGCAGTGCAGTTTATTAGGAACTCAGCAGGTTACCGGAGTGGGTTCTTTGTGTTGGTGACCTTCCAAAGCAATCAGAGCCCTCTTGGAAGACCTTGAATAAAAAAAATATTTGGGTATAAGAAAAATAGCCCCGCGCAGCACACAGTTCCGATCTCCCAGGGTTCACAGATTTGGAAGGTACTGTACCATATGTAACTGTAGATGACAGCACTGAGATACTGTAGCTGCTGGATCAAGGTCATGGTGTTCTGGGATCCAATTAAAATTATGCAAGATAAGCAATTTAGGAAAGAATTCACATAGAGTTTAGGAAGAAAAAAAATTTATGTGCGTTATGAGCTCAGTTACTTTGTAAGATTAAGTTTTTGCTATCTCATGATCTTGTAATAAAAGCACAAAGTATTTTAAACACTTGATTTGCTCATTGATCAGGATTCTGAAGACCTCAGTTTCTAAATCACAACTACAAGGCTGACTGCATTTAACAGTGAAGCTGTGTGTTTGCCTCACAGTTCATATCAATTGTGTGATGTATGCTGTTTGCAATGATTTGTGAATTTGGTGAGTGGGCAACAGCGAAACCTGGCATGGGCACGTCTGCTCTTTGGAAGCCCACCACATGCCTGGAGGGGATGTGAATGGAATGCCATACTGGCACAGGTCCTGTAACCAAGAGCATATGACCACTGTGCTCTTTTGGATTGCAACATTACCTTTAGTTCCCCAAACCTACATGGAGATAATGAGGAATAATATGAGCTGAACTGCCTGCTTATGGGATGCTTCATATTTTAGAAGAGGGCGTAGTGGGCCTATTCCTATTCCAATTGTCTCCTAATTTCAATCTCCTGAAGGACTAGGATAGAAGATGTAGCTATCTTCTGTATTTTAAGAACTGATTATGTTGTTGTGCTTAGTAAACTGAAAAATTCTGCTGTCAAAGGGGAAGAGATTTCATAGATGCTTTAAGCAAAGGTGTTTATTGCTAGATTCATGAGACAGCTGAAGACTCATTTGCAAGGACTGTGTTAGTAGCACCATTTCAGTCTCCCTTTTTTTCCCCCTGTCTGTATTAAAACTTTTCCTGAAGAGTTAGCTAACCAAAAAAGCAGGGACCATGACGACAAAGGATGATGGAGAAACAGGAAGGGAAAAAGGTAGGCACAGTCAATGAGCAAGTTAAGAAATGTCCAGTAGATGTGGGAGGACATGGATGTTTGCTGTAGTTCAGATGGTCCTTTGCTCACAATGCAGGTCTCTGTTTCTGCTAAGAAAGTCTCCTAAGATCATTCTAGCTGCTCAAACTGTGAAGGGAATGCTTAGGAAGCTGGCCCTGATGTGCTGTGGTTTGTAGTGATTATGGTTGTCCTTAGCTGGAGTAAGTTGGTGTATCTCCAAGGCAGGCGGTGCCTGTGGGTAGGGTCTGAAGTTCTGCAGGATGAAGTGTGCTTGGAAGTGTTGCTGCAGAAGTCGCAAGGGGAGCAGGTCACCTCTTTCTAGCAGAATTCAGAAAGGTTCTACCTTCTTCTGCTTGCTTAGGAAGGAGATACTGTTGTCCAGCATTTCTTCTTTCTATCAGTGTAAAGTACAAAGAAACCTTGTGTGTGCATGCCCCACGTGCAGCTGATAGAGCAGAAACGCCAGCGCTCTCTGACGGGCAGCACTGGTGGTTGCAGCAGTTCAGGAGGGCACAGGAAGTCTTTCAGAGGCTTAGGGGGCCCAGTAAAGTCAGTTGTGCCCTATAAATCAGTGCTCAGCTGTGACGAGGGCAGAGGTAAAAGAAACAGCCAGCAAAGCCGATGATGTCCTATGACCAGTCTCAAAAATGCCAGGTAGAAACTGCCCTTGAGAGTTCCTTTATCTCCAGGGGCTGCAAAATGAGTGGGATGGAGGGGGTGGGGTGTAAATAGACCCTATGTAGTTTTATACTGTCTTTATTCTCTTTATTCTTTGTTTTCTGATGATAGAGGAGCTTTATGTGACTATTGCAGCAAAGGAACTGATGAGTCATAAGGTTCATTTTCCCTTCCACTCTTCATCCTTTTCCTGACAGCCTCATCTCCCTCTGCCCTTCCATGCTGCGCCTTTAAGAAGAGTGGTTTTTCCAAAGACTAATTCCTGAGCTTTGGCATGTGCTTAGGCATGCCCCAAGTTTTGTGGTGTACTTTATGAAAAACTGCAGTGGGGAGCTTTTTAACTCCTTGCTGCCATAGGTGTGCTTTTCCTCTTTGTTCTTTGCTTGCAGAGCATGCACTGTTCAGCGTTTCTGTAACGATTTCTGTTCTCTTCCCCAAAAGGGAAGGGGATATATATGCATATACATATAAATATATGTATATATTTTTTCTCCAGTTAAAATTTGTATTTATTCCGTCACTTTTTACATGCCAAGTCTGTGCTGAATAAAGCTGACATGGCAGATTCTCTTCCTCATTATGTCCCCACGCTTGCACCATTCCTTCCGCAGTGCTAACCTGTCAGCAGAACAGCTGACCCACAGTGGTAACAGCATTGGCAGCTTTATTAAGGATTTCATATATTGTAAATTTCCTAGGGTCCCTGCTCATGAACATTAGTTTTTGTTTTTCTTTCCCATCTCATCGCAGTCCATAGGAAACTTGTAAGAAGCCAGCGAGATTGTATTGTAGAAACTGGTATAATGTTAAGTAAATACAATGTAGGTGGTTTTTTTTTTCTTTTTTTTAGGCAAATCTCATTTTTTGAAACTGTTTGGAGGAGGTCTGCCTGGAATTTTGCTGACAGTTTCAAGGCCCCAGCTCCCAAAGGATTAGTGCAGGTGTTACAGGCACATCAGCAGTAACTGCAGAGTTATGCAGGGTCATTATACGTACACAATATATATTGGTGTTGTTTGAGGCCTGCAGGCAGTTCCAGGCAAGCAGTGTTGTTGCCCTGCAGGATGCCTGACTTCATCTCAGGCTCTGTGGAAACTGAGGGATGTACCAGTCACCCATGGGATGTGGGACCCCATATGAAAGAAAGCAGTTCTGAGTAGAGACAGGCCTGGTTTGATGGGGAGATGCTGGAGGGGTGGGAGGGTGGGAGCAGGTGCTGGAGCTGGTTCTTCCTGCTGCACTGAGGTAGCTGTGGGACTTTGTTGAAATCACTTAACCTTTGTGCCGCAAGCTTCTTGCAAATAAAATGACATTAGCACAGGATACTGTGTACAGAGATTAACCAAATTAATGGGATAGTGCTTTAGAGCCTCTGCTCTACAAGTGTGCTGAGCCAAGTTGTTCTGTTTAAGAAGCTTGTTACCGAGCCCATGGAGGGCCTCTGCCTGCCAGCCTCCCCCTCCCAGCCACCCTGGTCAGGGCTCTCAGCCCTCCTGGGGGACAATAGTGAGTGCTCTCTGCCATTCATCCCCTCAGTCACTGGGCTGTGATTACTTCACCAGTGACTCCAGAGGAGCATCTGCCTACAGGCCCCATTGAAGAGTACTGCATCACACTCTGGCCACCCTGGCCCTGCAGCATCCCCTGCGAAATGTGCTGGAACAAGCACTTCAAACACCAGGCTCCCTTGGCATCTCTGCTGCCTGCTCTCTGGGTAGCCTTGCACTTCACCTTTTTCCTCTTCACTGGGAATACCAAAGTGCGGATCCTGTGTTCTGCCTTAGTACCCCAGAGTTCTTCAGGCTGAATTAATGAATGCCGTGAAGTCCATGATGTGCCAGGACGTACAGCAAAATGTAAATGTGAAGTAGGGCTTTGTAATTACGGGTGAGGTAACCCTTGTTGAGAGTGATTTGTTTTATCATAAGTCAACATTTGATCAGGTGGAGTCATAGGAAGGAGCAGGAAGCATAGACCAAGCCTGCCCTCTGCTACCTTTGTCAGAAATGTTTCAGGAAACTGGAATGCTGCTTTTCCCTTGTGCTGTGTGCTTGCTAGATGCTGAGTCCAGTGCTGGCTAAGGATGGGGTGGCATGAAAACAGTCTGACTGCTGTGTATGTTTCAACATACAGAGGGAAAAAAGATTTTTTTTGACAGGACAAGGAGGAATGGTTTTAAACTAAGACAAAGGAGGTTTAGGTTGGATATTAGAAGGAAGTTTTTCACACAGAGGCTGGTGACACACTGGAACAGGTTGCCCAAGGAGGTTGTGGATGCCCCATCGCTGGAGGCATTCAAGGCTGGATGTGGCTCTGGCAGCCCCGTCTATTGAATGGTGACCCTGCACATAGCAGGGGGGTTGAAACTAGATGGTCTTTGAGGTCCTTTTTAACCCAGGCCATTCTATAATTCTATGATGATTCTATGATTTTTCTTCTCTTGGGACTTGGTGCTTTATGAGGAAGCCAAGCACTGCTCTTTGCAGTGCTGGCTGGCACATCCAGCACAACAGCTCTTTGGATTTGATCAATTTATGAAGTGGAGGATTTCGAGAGGAAAAAAAGGCAGATGAAATATTATTATGTAGCTGCTGGCGTGCTGGCATCGTTAGGGTGCAGTACACAAAATCTTCAGTATTGCCAAGGAAAGAAAGAGTTAAAAAAAATGCAGAGGTTTAATTCAGGATAATAACATTTGCAAGGCCTGTCGAATTGACAGCACGTGAGCAACACAAAAGCAACCAAGCTAGGTGGAAAATGAAATTAGATGGAATCCTATTGCCAGAGGTTTGTCTAACTTGTGTCCCTTAAAGGGGTAGGTGCACTTTTATCGGAAGCTTCACCTCCAGGCTGGTCTCGCTGGCTGTGTTGTCCACAGAAATTGGATGCCCTTCATCCTCTGTGAACAAAGCACTGTTCTGCTGTGTCTACTTTTGGTGGCTGATTTGTCTCATTCCTCAGAATACAGCAGTGTATTGTTGTGTTTGTTTCCCTTAGTGGCTGTGTACACAGTAAATTGTTGTTTGTCTGAGGGATTCACACATCTGGAAGAGACCAGGAATAGCAGTGCCTTTGTCCATAAGTCAGATTTGGAGCTGTAGGTCCCTTCCAAAATGCAGAGTTACATATTGTCTGCTGCAGTGCTTGTTTGTGTACTCAGATTTTTGGATTGGAAAGGGCAATGAGTATTAGCACTGACCCAAACAGTGGATACTATTACTACTACTAAAACTAGTGCAAGGTAAAAAAAATATATACTTTTTTTCCTGTGCAATTCAGCTACTACTTCCCACAAAGGTACTACCAAATATAATTTTGGGAAGTAGATATTGATACACAAGAAGCTTGGCTGAGTTTTGGTGAGTAGCGAAAGAAATTAGCTATTATTGAGATATTTCAATAACTGATGCAGAGAGGGCAGATCTCATGGTTGAAAAAACAAATCAGTTCTCCTGTAATATCATCCTTGAGATACTATTTGAGCACAAAAAAATCTACTTGCAGCCTGGATCTAGACAGTAAGTTATCACAGATGAAAACAGAAAAGGAGAAGACAAGTCCTTCTGTACTGCAGCCCTCTTCTCTGCCAGGCTGAGCCCTCACAGCTCTCACCAGATGCTTTGCAGTGACAGGAGTGGTCGTTGCACTGCAGCTCACTCTTGTTGCAGCCTGCATACTTTCTGAGGGAGCTGTCGCGGTCCTGTTAGCTCCTTCCCCACTGGGGAGTGAGGCTGTCCTGGGCACAGAGCAGAACCTGGAGTGAGCAGCAGCAAACTGAGCGAGGTGGGATCTTGTAGCAGCATAGCCTCAGCCCCAGTGCTCTGAGAGATTTCTCCTTTGAACATAAGGCACTTAGGGCTTCTAAAGGAGCTTGCTATGCGCCAAGTCATGCAGTTGCTACATTATTCTACAAAGAGACAGAAAGACCAGGCATCAGACTCACCAAAAACTCCTCAAAAGGGCACAACCACACTTCCAGTTTCCGTCCTGCCGCTGTTCTGTGTGCGACCGCTCTTGGTGCCGCGATACTGTGTGTATGTCTGTACAAGTGAGGCAGCGAGAGCACATGAGTGCAGTGTTGTAACATGGCAGGGCACAGGCAGTTATGAAACTTTCCAATAAACTCTCTGCGCGTCAGTATTGGTCGCTTGGGTGTTGTTTTTTTTTTTACTTTTTTTTTTTTCTTGTGTGTGTGTGTGTGTCTGTTGCCTCCAGTTTCATTTCCATCACGATCTCAGAGAGGCGGGCTCAGCAGAGCTAGCAGGGCTGGGCCCCAGGGGAACGCAGGTCCCGGGGCAGGTGGAGCGCCCCAGGGCTCTGGGCCCTGGCTCTGGGGTGGGAGCAGCCCTGTGCTGGGGGCTGGGGGCTATAGGGGCCCCTTCAAAGTGCCTGAGCCGCAGCCGGGAGCTCGGCTTTTGTTTTTTAAAAGGACTGGAGAAATTATTAACCACAATTCATGACGTCAGAGTTGATCTGATTAAAGGTTTGTTTTCTTGCTGGCAGAGGTGTGCTCCGTAGAGACTGGTTCTCTCTTCTTTTTTTTTTAAGTTTCTTTTTTGAACAGCAAACGGAGGGAACTGCTCGCATTGCTGCTGCTGCTGCTGCTCCAGCTGCGCGTGTGTGTGTGTAAACAGGATGGTGTATCTGTAGCTGCCACGCGCAAACACACATTTGACCATGAGGACTCTTCGCAGGTTGAAGTTCATGAGTTCGCCCAGCCTCAGTGATCTGGGCAAGAGAGAGCAGGCAGCCTTGGATGAGCGGGGGACCCAGCAGCGACGGGCCTGCTCCAACGCTACCTGGAACAGGTAAGCTCCTGCACCATGTCCTGCCACCCCCGGGCTGCCCTGTGCTTGCCAAGAAGGCACAGGCAGCCTGGCTTGCTGACACCCTGAATGGGTGAGAGCTAGCTGGGCTCTGCCTTGGTGCATTCCATGGATATGTGCTCCAATGAAAGGCCAGAGTAGCTTGTATTCACCTTGCTGTTAGACTTTCTTTGCAGGCTGATAGCAAGCAGGGCTTCCTGCAGATGGTTCAGCCCCTCTGTTGTGACAGGCAAGGACTTGTTGCAAAAGATCTGGCTGCATGTAGGTCCTTGAGTCCATCTGGATATTCTCATTCAAAGTGGATTTGGTTTATTTTACTCAAAATTTATATATATATATATATATATATATATACACACAATTAATACAATTCATATATATACATTCGTATATATATAAACAATTGTATATATACATTATATGCAAAAATATATTTACAATTATTAAAATTCATATATATGTTATTTTTATGCACATGACTGTACTGCTGATGGTTGATGCAGATTTGCTGAAATACTCAATTTATTCACTTCAGTGCAAAAAGTTGTTTGTGTTTGTTTCTGTTTGCATGTGTGTTTGTGCACGTGCATTTTGGGCAAGGAAAAACAGTCCTTGGTTGTGTTCTTATACATTTGAATGTTATTACTGTTTGGTAAAAAAGAAAATCGCAAACATTCAAACATATGATCTTGAATGAGCCACTGAGCAGAGATTCAATGAATAAAGAATGAAGTGACACTGAAAGATGAGTCTAAGCCTCTGAGTCCTGAGGACTGTGTCACTGCATGGAAAGTTTCACTCATGTTTTATAATTGTCTGGAGGTCACGGAAAGAAAAATAGTGGAGAACTATAGACACATTTTTAAAGGTATTTCAGTTTTAAGCAATTATAATAAGATTTTAAAATATCTCTCATTCCTCTCACCCATTGCTGTGTGTTCGTACTCGGATTATGAATTGGCTGTCTGCTGTCAGCAGCACAGTGAGCGCTGAAACTGTATGATAACAGAAGAGGCTGGGTACCTGCTCAGAAATACGTGCTGTTTGAATGTCAGAGATGCTTCCCGTGTCCTGATGGTGGTGGTACTCGGGGAGGAGTCAGCAGGGAGGGGAGGTGCTGCTTGGTGTGAGCGAGGTGTCTGTGAGCAGCTGTGCCACTACTGTGTGTGAACCCTGCCCAGGCTGGCTTTCTGCTGGGGCTGCCTTTCCCCATGCACTGGTGGCTGTGCCATGTGTCCCCACGGTTTGGTGACGTGAGACTTGAGACACCTGGTACTGCCCTGCAAACCAAGTGGGCATCTCCATGTGTGCACTAGCAGCTCCCTGGAGCTGCGACGAGATACAGATGGTGAGCAGGTTGTGCTGCAGGGACGAAGGGAAGAGCCTTTATTTCTGATGCAATAGCACACCCCAACAAAGAGCTAGCATGAACAGATTGCCTGTGCTGCTGTGCTCTGTGCAGTACTGAGTGTGAGATCTCGCTGATCAAGGAAGTCAGGACACACCAGAAGAGTTTGCCCCTCTCGCCAGTCCTGGTTGTGCTTTATTTAAATGCATTGTCGGTTCTTGTTTCTTGGCAGCAGCTTTGTCTGGGCGTGCCATGCAGGTATCTGCTTTGGAGAGAGGTGTTGTACCCAGTGCATCAAAATGGGTTTAGGGAGAGGGAAAGCACAGCCCCATGGCAGGCCCTTCCCTGCATGGGGCTGGTGGTGTTGTGCTTTGAGGTGGAGCAAGTCCAAGCTGCAGTCACAGTGCTGAGACTTTCTGTGGACTACTGTGGCTTAGTCACAGTGGGCCATCTCTGCCAACGACCTGCAGCCCCACTTCTGCCATCAGGCTTTGTGTCACTGCAGTATGGCTGCCCAGAGACATCCCCCCTGCTGCCTCTCAGCGCAGAGACTGCTGCCTTCTGAGGCCTAATGATAGGGCTTGCAAGGGGAAACACAGTGCCTGTTGTGGGAAAGGACAATTTCTTCCTCCGTAATACCTTTCCATCACCTGCAAACAGAAGTGCTGTAAAAATTCTTGGCATTGCTAGATCAAGAGAAATTGGTGATGAGCTGCAAATCAGGCTTTATATCACAGCTTCTTCTGAACCTGCGTTTCCACGAACCGCAGAAGATCAGTGCATCAGCTCACAGGTCGCATGTTAACTAGCAACCCGCAACAACATAGTGGAACAATGCAGTTTCATTACAGCTCACAGAACTTGCATTGGATTAAAATAGCTTAGATTTTTTCACTAGAATTGTCTTCAATTCCTTCCCCCACTCCCCGCCCTCTTCTGCTTCAGGCAAAAACTGAGAGCTGAGTGCTGACTAAACCAATCGGACCAAGAAACCCAGAGTTTGTAATCCTGAGCTTGCTGCTGGGGCAAACAAAATCCAGAAAGTTTTTCTTTCTGAGCAAGCCAGCACAGACTGCCCAGATAAGGCTGATGCTGCCCAGGTTCTGCTGTGGATAAATCTCCAGTGAAAGGTGCTTCTGTCCTCTTGCTGTGTGAAAATGGGGAAGTTAAGGGGAATAAGGTGAAGGAGTAGGTAGTGATGGAAAGGCAAAGAGCACAAATATGAGATGCTTGTTATGGCAGTGATGCCAGCAGTAAAGCCAAGCAGACATGCAGAATCAGAGTTTTATGGTTTGGGGTAATTTTTATAGGGTTGTAATGCGTGCAATAACTTCTTGTAAAGTAATTTTTACAGTCACAGGAACCATATTTCATCTCCTACTTAAACATGAGTGTTTTTTTTTTTTCCAGATCATAGTGAGGCTTCTCTAGTGGAGAAAACATTCCAGACCTATTCCATATTCAATAGATACAGTATGTATGGTAATAGATGCGTTCATATATATCTACTGTTTCTACTGGGAAAACTTCCTTCTTCCAGTATTTAGTATTTATTTAGAAATATTGTGAGATATTCACGCCTGTGTGAGGAGGACTGGCTTCTTTTTCCTCTCCCTTCAGTGGGAGTCCTCTGGAGAGCACTTACTTACATGGGTGAGAGCCAGAGGCAAGCTGCAGGGTGGGGAAGGGTGCAGGGTACTTCCCACTTGGCCATACCACCACCACACTAATGCAGCATGCCGAGCCTTGACTGCTGCTCTAGGAACTGGTAGTGGGAGCTGCTTCCCAGAGCTCTCCAGACTCATCTGTACTTGTTTGAATGCAGGTATGATCGGAAGAGTTTCCATAATCTTACACTCCATAAAATATGAAATCTTGGTACACCTCAGGGAAGTCGCTTCACCTGTCTTTCTCAACTTCTTCATAAGTCAAAGTAGTATTTAGAGTTGGTGAAGTTGGGGAACTAATGTCTCCAAAACTCTTTGAAGACAGTTTCGCAGACCAGCTTACTTTCAGTTGTATGATCCAGTACATAATTACAGCCTATCCCACTTTGCAGATTGCTTTACCTTGGCTAGAAATTTGAGAAACATCAGTGAACTAGCAACTGCAATGTTACTTTGACAAGGACAAAGCCTGTGGAGTTCCAGCTGGACTGAAGCTATTCTGAAAGTGGGATTGTCCAGGTTGAATTAAGCTAATTCAGAAAAATGAGTCTATCTTCTGGAGCAGGGTTGTCCTCAAAGAATTTTATCAGGTTCATCACTGCAAATTAGCTATTTGGAATACTGTCCAAAGGAAAAGGAGCCCTCAGTCATTTATTCCCTTTCAAAAACATTGCATTCAACTCTTCGGTGCTAGCAAAGAGTGATTATTTATGCGATGTTGTTTACATTCACCAATTTCACCTCAAGAAATTTGCAGACCCTGAGTAAAAAATACAGTGATATTTTTACACACACTGCTTGCATATGACAGCAATGAATGCTTTAGAGAACAAAAATCACCTGCGTGCTTTGCACAAGTAAAACGTTGGGCCACACCACATGCTTTGCTAGGCGGTCCCAACCTGGGGCTGTGATCTGGTTGGACCAAACAGGCAGTCAGATTTTGCAGTTGTTTCTCAGCTCTGCAGGCAAACTGCTTCTGAACTGATAAGAGTCAAAGAATCAGAGAATTGTAGGGGCTGGAGATCATTTAGTCCATCCCCTCTGTTTTGAGTATCTCCTGAGAAGGAGACTGTGACCTCTCTGAGAAGTGTGCTCTGTCACCCTCAAAGTAAAGAATTTTTTCCTCAAGTTCAGTTGGAACTTCCTGTGGTCCAGTTTGTGTCCATTGCCCTTTATTCTTTTGCTGGGCATTGCTAAATAGAGCCTGGCCCATCCATTTGA